AAAAGACTAAGGAGATTTTAATTAACGGAATAGTGTTCCAATAAGAAAACAAACTTTGTGTTATTGATGATCATTTGTCCCATTTAAAGTTTTAACGCACAACTTTTATATTTGCGGCCGTGGCTATTAGTTTGATGGAATAAAATTGTATAAATTGAGCAAAATCTGAATTCCAAATAGACTTTTTTTCATCATATTAAACTAATTAAGTAACGACGTGAGTAATTTCGTGGCGCTGACGAGAGTTTCAAATAATATGCTTTGCAAATTTTAAAAAGCTCCAACGCTAACGCATTTTATCGAGCGTACGTATTCACCCCGACTCTAATTCCCGCGGCGCTCGTCAACAAATCTCTATTAATAACAACCGCGGGGGGCAGGTAATTTAAATGAGTAACGTGTACGCACGACCGACATATGTTGAAATAAAAATATGCATAAAAAAATAACGATTCTTTTACGACACATTTCTAGTGGCAAGTCGTAAATCATATAATAAATGGCCACTAATTAGTTGCTTCATATTTGCATTTTATTAACCATAAAACTATAAGCCATAAAACTAGAGCGAGAATGCAAATATCTGAGACTTAATATGATTAAACACGCCCTCTCAATTTTGCATCTCCCGACTCGGCCGACGCTACGACGATATACCTACGTGGGGGCAGCAGTTAATAAGCGAAGCGGCCCCCAACATCGGGAAACAAATTTTAATAAAATACTAATATAATAAAGTTGTGTTTTTCATATTTAGGAAGAAAAATATTTAAAGAGGAATCTGATAAGAAGAAGAATATACGAAACAATATATAATCAAAGAAAGAATACCCAAGTAACGAATCCTAGTTTAAAAAAAGTCCGGGTAAAGACTCGAAATTTTTTGAGTGAAATCTTCGTCTTTTTGCTAGAAAACTGCGTTGTCCGGACATTCGGCTGTGAGTTTTTAAGGGCATATCCCGTTTTAACCTCTTTTTCTGTTTTTTGTTTGATATGAAGAGGATGCAACTTTTTTTGTGTCAATTAAGCTATCTCTCAATACATTTTTGCTACCAGGTATAAGGCTTGTTCTAGAGGGCCACTCTATTTGAGTACAACGGCTATCTCTTGCCCGACTATCTCACCCACAAATAAAGCATGGAAATTTTCTATAACCCTCCGGTTCTCCTAAGTTCTTGGCGATTTATTTTCTTCAAAAGAAGTCCTAAATGTTCATACGTTTCTTTTAAATGTACCGAATGCACAACGCGTATCAAGGCCAGTTCGTTACAATTGTGAAATAAAACGCATTTTAAACAACACTTACTTGAGTCAATAAACAGGCACTATTCTTTTATATACGGCACATTCCCTAATTTTGAAACTAAGTCAGGAATATTGTTGCAATACACTAGCGGTCCTTCCTTAATGCTTCAACGCAAACGGGACCAACAGTATTAGAAGCCCAAGACTGTCTTAGGCGCCAATTTTTACACCAAAATAAGAGTCGTATACATTTTTCACAAAAGAAGTTATAGTTTGCCTTTGCTTTACTGCGACATAACTACCACTTATATAACCAAAGATATCTGGATTGTTCATACATCTCTTCTTTCCATATTTACACGTTCTAGAACACTAAAAATACGCAACAACGAAAACAGCGGCGACCACTATAGCACATCTACTGACGCAACCAAACTGTACATAAGCAGGTTACTATGCTGTATTGACGCTTCTGCGCGAACTCTGTTGCTTTGCAGAGAAATGTAATATTATCCATTGTTGCCAAATCACATTCAATTTCATAAAAATCGATTCATTTAAAAATCATGCCTAACATGGAACAAAAACATTCATCTTATAGGTATATAAATTAATAAAATAACATTTTTAAGATATTGAGCGCTATAAAAAAAGTGCCGTGATAGAGCAAAAATATGGCGTTTTTGAAAAAAGGCCCCCAAAAATATACAAATAAGCAAACAGCTTCCAAATCACTATAGATCTGTGTTATTTTATTGTTTAGTTTTGGCAAAAATTTTTGTACCTTTGGTTTCCATCGACCATGTTATAATTTTCTGGCCGTAATGTCACGTTACTAAACTCAAACGACGAAACAACTATACTTGTGCCTGGTATTTTTATTTCGGAAGTTTCCTGTGTGCGCTGTATGGTTTATGGTGATATGTGGTTTCGTTCACAATTCGACGAGATTTTCATGCCTTTCCCTATAAAGTCAGAGTAATTCAAGCTTTGCTGACCTGATATTTCAATTAACTGGCGCTCCGTATTATTCAAAATTGTTTATACATACAACAAAGGTTAAATAGGGAAAGTTTTAGAGAAAACTTAGTGCATTAGTGCTTCAGATTTAAGATTCGTGAATTGGTTTGGGAAATATCGGCGAAAAACCAGATTTCGTTTTTCGCCCGTAAATCCAAACCGGTTAAATTGATAGCTGTAAAAATGTGACATTAATCAAACGCTTTTTTAAAACGAGTAAGATTTTGGGAAAGAGCGTAAAAGTTCAGTGATGTCTCATAAGTGTACAAAAGATTTTATCACACTATGTTCTTTAAGGCGGATTGCGAGATAGCAAAAGGCGATTGATGTATATCAGGCTATATTACTGTTCTTAAAGAAGTATCTGAATGTCACATTTTGACAGCTGTCAATTTTTATTTCGGTTTTTGGACATTTCCCAAACCAATTGACCTATCGTTCTTCTAAATTTTTCCACATTTCACCTTTGTTGTAGGTATAACAGGAGCGAATATCCCTGTTTTTTCAGATTTGAATGGTTAATTACAAACAAAGGTTTTTAAGATTTTACCACAAGTTTTGCCGCTTGAATTAGAATTAATCAAAAACGACGTTTTTTAAATTGTTTTTAAAGAACACGCATTTTTTCGTTCTACCCTGCCCATGATTGTCAGTAAAATTTCCGTCGAAAGGATATTTCAGGAATTTGTTTGAAAGATCTTTCAAAAGACGTCTTGGTTTTATAGAAACATTATTAAGAAATTATTACAGATTAAGTTGATTTGCTAACCCAAAAAAGTAAAAACATGTCACCTTAGATTTTTCGTAAAGTGTTTTTGACTTCGATCGCAGTTCAATTTAGGTTAAGGTCATTCGCCCATTTAAGTATAAAATTAGGTAATTAAGTATCGCATATGACGGTCACTGCCGAAGCCGGCAAATAGTTGCTGGGTAGTAGTGATGCAGAGGGAGTCGAGCTTCAAAATGAAAAATGAAATCAGATAAAAAAGCGACATAGGAAACGCAAATTGAAAGAACGGAGAGGGATGACTCAAGAAAATTATCTTGCCATCCGATAATTTTCAAAACTAACCAAACTATAGAAAGATATACAGAAGGTGAAGGCCACGCAGATATGAGAAGAATAAAAATTAGTTATATCTATCTGATTTGAAGTAGAAATGATCTCCAAGTCATGACATTATTAAAAAATTAATTTTATTTGTGGGTCCTTGGTGAACATCTCGAATCAATATTTGTCACTCAAAGTAGCTATTAAGGTAAGGCAATCAGAGACATCTTTTCGAAAGGCTGACACACAAGTGTTGAGGTGCATGCTTCAGAGACAATTATTAAAAATTAAAATTTCGTATATCAAAATGCTTGCAGAAAGCGTAATTAAATCTTTAAATGCTCATAGGAACATTTTGCCTAAAAAGATAAAAATAAAATTAACGGATTCACTTCACTTGTGTCGTTTTAATTTTGCTGGTATCATTTATGCCACATATTTAGACAAAGAATATATCAAAATAATTCAAAAAGTGGGTGCCTACGTTTTATACATAATATCAGAAAGTATTACTCCGTTTCTTTCAAATTAAAAGGTACAAAACAGTTTAACCTAAAAAACAAAAATTATTTAATACATTCTATAGGTACCGTGACTGTATTTTTCTCTTTCTTTTTTATATAAAAATGGTATTCTCATAATTCACACTTTAATTACCACAAGGTTCAGAATGATGATTATTTATAATGTTCATTCCAATTCATTCCACTGTTATATATACATCTAGTGCAAATGAATCATTTATTTATTTGTTTATGCACCTGTTAAGTATTTATATTTTAGAAAGACACGTTAAAATCGAACCCAATCAACATTTATCACAGGTTTAGAAGTTTCGTTCACCAAGAAGAAGGCACTGGACCTGCAAAATCGCTTTTAACTGCGATAGACTTTCCAAGCTCCCGAAGTGCAGTAAAATTTATCGTTAAAAAAAAGATTATTGCCGCATTTTGCAGTTTTGCTTGCATTTTTGCAAAAATTATTAATTACTTTTAAATGCTTGAGTGGCTTTAAAAAGTCGAACGGACACAGCAAGGCCTTTCTAAAAATATTGGAGTCCTAATGAAACTGTTGTGCTATGGTTAATAGTTTTCCCGAACTTTGTCGGGATATTACCCCGTCTTTGATGTCGGAAAATAACCTTTACTCTCGAAAATTTTCTTTTAATTAGTTTCGTGAATGGTATGGTTCGGTGGCTTTTCTGAGGGTTTTAACAAAAGCGGCTATAAAAATTTACAAGATAATGAAATTTTGATTAGAATTCTTTTGTCAAGGCTGGACAACTTTGATAATTACCCCAGATATAAAAAAATGAGTCAGGAAAAGATATTTGATAAAATCCAAAATTATTTTGTGTCGGTTTGGAACATTGCTCGAGACGAACGACAGCTTGTAGCTACAAGAGATTTATTCAAACCAATGCATTTCGTTGTAACTATAATTAAACTCATTAAGCGTATATAGCATTGGACCGTTTGCAGATCAATTCTGAAAAGAGTCAGTTTAGTTAAAAAACTCACCCTTTTTTAAGCTTAAAATTCGATTTGATTAAAAAAATCTCGTTTTACTTTTTTTAAAATTTTTGTCCCTATGCACGGACAAAATTATTACTATTATGTCGGATCATTTTTTCAAACTTCCTAAAAAAAAGTTCTATAAATTTTCAATTGAATTTCCTTTTCAGTGTATATACGGATGTTACGTCCATTCGGCCATTTTACCCACTTTCCACAGAAGGTGTTACTGGCTTCTCCAGGTAATATATTAATTAGTATAGAAGAAACAATTAATACAATTTTTATTTTGGTTTTTTGTTGGCAAATTTACCTTCCTATGTTCTTTATAGAGAGCTCTTAAAATTTGTTAATTAATTGGTTAAATTTTATATATGAAATTTGGACTAAAACGGTTATCTAACCAACCCTAGACTCGTTGACAAAGGTTTTCTGAAGCCCAATTCTCAGGAGCATTTGCAGCAATCTCTATCTACATAGATGAAATCGATATATTCATGATCTTGAAAAATGAACAACCGTTTCCAATTTTGAACGAAAAAAATGTAGTCAGATCTATTTGACCAACAAACCGGAACCTCAGAATAATTACTAACCAAAAGATTTTGTTGAAAAGTATTCGGACACTTTTTGTTACGTTTGTTTTCTCTACGTTGTTTTCGGTCTTAAAAGGATAGTATTAATTGTTAAGCAGAATCCAGACATCGTCTTGGTGCACTACCTTAACGTACCCTACCCTGACGACAACAAACTGGCGGTCATAACACCGAGCTTGGCGCTGTGGGCTGATAAAAAAGAATGGACCAAAGACGAATTAGTATCCCAACTGAAACCGATGTTTTTCAGTGAAGATGAGCCGGACATTAACAACGAATTGGAGATATCGGTAGGAAATACTTAAAACCGTATCCACCAACACATAAAATGGACCCGCTTGAGCGCCCCCTAAATTCTCAAAATTAGATGAATTTGCGTTAACTTATTTTAGCGCAGCAGAGTAAAATTTTGGAATGGCAGTGTCTGCTCGTCTGCGTGTTACTTTTACTTTGTCAAAAAAGTACTATAAAAAGTTCACGTTATAGTTCAAAATAACTTCGTTATACAAAGTGTCTCGAAATTAGACGTCAATATTTTAACCACGCATTCTGTGACCCAAAATAAGGGTAAAAGTTCATATAAACTAGGGTCCGAAACGTCTTAGTCTTTAACATACAGGGTGTTAAATTTGAAGAGGTGGTCGCGATTTTTTGTTAATATTTTAGAAAATATTTTTAAATAAAATTTGATTAGTTTATAATTTATAATTATTAGACTTTGTATAGGGTTGTCTTCAGGGGTGGGTAACACAGAGGAGGCTTGAGAAAAATTTGCTTTAAAATTTTTGTTTGTCGAATTTTCGTAATTTAGACTGCAGAATTTCAAAATCTAAAGTTTTCTAGGTAAATAGGGGACCCCTGTCGCAATTCGCTAGAACACACCGTTTTCGAGAAAAATGCTTTTGAAAATTTAATTACAACATATTTTTTTATTTTAATGTTTACAATCGAGGTGTAGATAACCATTAGTAAGCCTTGGAAGTTAATGACGCGTTTCACTTGTTTGTGTTGCTGGGTAAATAAAAATTAAATGTCAATTATTCGACAGCTTTCAATTTTGCAAATTTTTCCCACGCCTCCCCTATGTTACCCATCCCTGAAGACAATCCAATACTAAGTTTTAATTCGTTAAATAGAGCCTAAAAAGTTAAGTAACTGTCCCAAAATTTTATTTAAAAATATTTTCGTGTTTCAAAAATATTTACAAAAAATCGCCATCACCTCTTCAAATTTAACACCCTGTATGTTAAAAACTAAGACTTTTGGGCCCTAGTTTATATGAACTTTTATCCTTATTTTGGGACACCCTGTATATGTATCACGTTTACGAGGATAAGGCAAATCAATCTATTTCGATCTGATTAGATTTCTTTAAGGGGATACGCGGTATTTTACGTGTTGGTGGTCCACCTAGATCTACATTATTAAGAAGGGACTATGCGAAGCCCCAGTAGAATTTTAAATTACAGACTGCTGAAACCGTCGAAGCAATCGTCAGCCAGTTGATGGAAAAGCAGAGAGTGGCGCGACAAGCTGCCCTAGTGAGTAAAACTAGAGCGGGGTCATATCAAAACGCACATGTTACAAACGATTTTATTAATTGCTGACTCTTAAATTTCAAATTTTTCAGTTTTCTAATAAAACCCGTTCACAGGTTAAGCAACTAGAGTGTGGTTGCCCAGATTCAACTTGCGCCGACGGCAAAAGCTGTTCCCACCCGATGAGAAGAATAACGTCCGCCAAAGAAATATCTAGTTCACCATTACCTAGTTCTAGTGTTAACTCGAGAAATTCAAATAATCTGGATAGTAGTAATCAAGTTTCTTCCACCACCGGATGCGGTTCCCTGCACGTAACCAATAACAATTCCCACAATTCTCCCAGGATATATTCGCGAGAGTCCAGAAACAACCAAGCCAGTCAAAATAGCAATAATTGTTCCTCTAGTTCTGGAAACACTCCGCCTCTTGTGCTTAGTTTATCCCAGATACAAGGAGGGGGAGGTTTACTCATCCTCAATAGCAACACTAATAATTCTAGTCATCAAAACCTAGTCAACCCCGTATCAGTTGCTAACTTCATGTGCAACACCAATAGGTCTGTCAAAGAACAAAGAAGTCATCTAGTATTAAAACAGGAAGTGATGGAAACCAGTCCGCCTTCTTGTCTTCTATCATCTACGAAACAGGAAACCAAACCCACTCAAAGGGAAAATAAAATGGAAGTCAACGAAAATGTCCGACAATCAGTTTTTGATGGTGCAAACATATATGGAAATGTGACACAAAGGTAAAGTTTTTATGTGGCTTGCTTTAATTGCCGCTTAAGCTATATTGTAGGATTTTATTACCAAGAAAAGTAAAAATTTATTCAGAATAAATAAATAAGTGAATTTTCAAATACTTTTAAATTTGCTTGTTGCAATAAGTGAGCGACAAATTTAGTGCGCTATTGAATTTTTATTTCTTTTTCAGATTTATTAATTGAATCCAAGACTTTTTTGTCTCTCCAACATTTTGTGCATTTTGTATTATACGTCAGTTCTAGAAAATTGTTAAACTTTATCCGTCAACAGAAAATCAATAGAAAGCTAATAAATGGAAAATTTAGCGATCTGGGTAAACATGCGCTACAAAAAAACGTTTCTATTTTTTAAAGGTTTATGCTTATGTCTTGAATATTTTTTAAGATTTTTTAAAATGCTCTTTGCTTTCCAGTCTTCCTTTAATTTATATAATTGCCTATAAATATTTCGGGCACAAAATTTAAAAAATCGCTTATGAATGTCATCAACTTCCTATGGTTTCAACTATAAGCCCAATATTTGTAACGCTAGTGCTTTTGTACTAAAAATGAGTTAGTAGCTCATAGATAAATGTTGTGATACTAACTGTTTATTTTTGACTGGGACATTCTCAGGCAACTTCTTTTCAGAAGCCATCAAAATCAGCATCAAACCGAAGTAGTAATGTCTAGTGCCCCGTCGACCCCCTCAAAGCACATGGACACGACCCACGAAGATGTTGTAGAAGATTACAAGCATCAGAACTTCTGCGACGACACGGTAGTTCTCTTAGGCACGGATTCTAGCGGATCCTTAGTTAGCAAAAGCGACGGTTCTTCCATTATTAATGGGGGGTTCTTTAACGAGACTTTAGATCTGTCCCAAGAGGACATTCAAAGAACCCTCTCAGCCAATATGCCCATGTGTTCATCTGATTTAGAAAACCACGCGAGTCACAATTCGAATACAAACAACGCAAACCAGCAATCTAAAAAACGATCTCAACAACAGAATTTGACTGGTGATATAAATCCTATGGATTTCATCGACACGTGCGATGTAGTAGTGTCGCCGACTCATGTCGTTGATGATGACGTATTCGTTAATTTGGATGCTTTTGATATGCTTGGGGAGTTTCCCGATCTAGAAGGCTTAGAGTCTAGTCACGCTGCCTTGTTAGATGTCAGTCCGTCCGAAGCAAGCAGAAATAACGGAAAAGCCCAAACAGATCATCAACAGCATCAGCACCATCAGCAACATCAGAATAATAATCACTCTATGGAAGGTGGGGTTAAAATTACTGATTACTCCCCTGAATGGGCCTACCCTGAAGGAGGAGTCAAAGTTTTAGTTACCGGACCGTGGCATTCATCAGGACCGTACACCGTACTTTTTGATACATTCCCCGTTCCCACCACGCTAGTTCAAAGTGGAGTTTTGCGATGCTATTGCCCAGGTTGGTTAATTTAGTTATTAGACACTTTTAATTTCACGCTCCCCATTAATAATTTCATACCTTTGATACCATGTTCTAGGCGTAAGTATAGTTGTTTCTTATTAATTTGTCTCACTAAATATTTAGTTCTTGAACTAAAAGATCAAATACAAAAAGAATTTGTAGTAGTCTTTTCAGTCAGTTTTGCGATGTTGAATAAAATGTTTTATCAACTTTCAAATGTAAATATGATTTACCCAAAATATATAGATTATCTTCATTTTTTAAGGTACACAGAGTGTTAATAGTGAACTGCTGACGATGTTTGGTTGTACAATTAACTAAAATGTGCCCCACTTTACATTATAGTTAGCTAAACTAATGAAAACAAGAAAATGTAAGAACTGACGCGTGTATATTTTTTTAAATATTTATGCAAAGTTTTAGTCAACAATACAAAACCGAAACACAACAACTACATATTCTATTAATCTGTTATTAAATTAAAATGAAAGGTCATGTTGTCTTGGGCAGTATTTCCTAATTACATTATTACAAAATTTCCGTAGTCTAGATTATACTCATTCAATTACAGCTCATGAAGCCGGGCTGGCTACACTCCAAGTAGCATGTGACGGATATGTGATTTCCAACTCTGTGATATTCGAGTACAAGTTACCACGAAAAGAAGAGCAAGTTGCGACGGCGGAACCGAAAATAGAACGATCCAATGACAATTTACTTAAATTTACTTTACTTCAAAGGTTAGAAGCCATGGACGATAGACTGCAAATTAAGCAGGAACCAATCGATAATGATGTGGTAATATTTTCTATTTGAGGAAATTTTCTTACATTGATGGCGTCCTCAATTGCAGGTTGAAGATACAGCTCTATTCAGCCAAGCTAATTTTGAAGATCGACTGGTTTCATTTTGCCAGAACATGACGTCTAGAATATGGAAATTTGGAGAGGAACTAAGTGTCTCCTGGTTTGCGAGCCACCGGGGGATGACCCTGCTTCACTTAGCTGCTTCTTTGGGTTATTCGAGATTGGTGTGCGCGATGCTACACTGGAGAGCAGAAAATTCATCCTTACTTTTGGAAACCGAAGTGGATGCCTTAAGCCAGGATGAATTTGGTTATACGCCCCTGGTAAGTGTGAATTGTATATGTTGAAGATGTTCTTAAGAGGAAATGTACAGATGTGGGCTTGTGAAAGAGGCCACACTGAAACTGCTATCATGCTGTATAAGTGGAATCACACTGCATTGAACATTAAAAATAAGCAAAGACTGTCAGCTCTGGATTGTGCTAAATCCAACAACCATTCCGACTTGGTTGAAGAATTGGAGAAGTTAGAAATCAGAAGAGAAAAGGCAAATATGCTTTTGCATTCAAATCAGTCATCAGTGGAGAATACTTCTCCGACAGTTATCTCCCCAGCAAGTTCCACGGCTTCCCTAGCATCTATTTCCTCAACTAGTAAATCTCACGATGGTGTGTTTCTTCGTCCGGGAGCTGTGACGAGGTTTGTTAAATGGCGAAAATTGCTTTTAATGTACTAAAGAAACATCATTTGCATAGGAGTGAATACCAAAAATCGAAGATGCTTAACATCGACATAGATGCTGACAAATTTCTGATGTCTTCTCCCAGTCCTCTTCTATCGGATTTTCCATCTAGTGTCAGAGGTAGCAATGGTCAGAAACTTATTAAGAGACCTTCAATAGACAGCGGAATACATATGAGTTGCGGATCCGCTTCTGAAAACATTCGACCAAAGAGTTCGAAGATGTCGGGTACCCGAGAAACGTTAAAGTTGTCAAAGTAAGGAAACACTAAGTAAAAAGTAAAAAAATAAATAAATAAATATTACTAAGTTTGACATTTCCAAATATCTCAAGTATATTAGAATACAACATTTAATTTTCACAAGGACTTGCAAACCACATAAAACTTATTCTATAAGCAGGAACGACAGAAGTATGTCACTTCCAATCCATTCTGCACTATCCACAAGAGAGACCTCATTTGACTCAGATTCGTCAGAATCTGTAGGAAGAAAAATGGATTTTGCTCTGTGTGAGTAATTTAGACAAATTATTAGCAAGAAGTGTTTGTTTATTTTTATATTAATATTTTCGGAACAAAAATATTCTTATAAAAATAAGCATTTGGTAAGTACATACACTTTCCAGTGGTTGGACTTTAAAATGCATGCTAATTCCTAATTTGGTTAAGTGACCACCAGATATAAATTTTATCGCTTAAATATGCTTTAGTTTAATATTTTGTTAGTTAAATTAATAAAAATTGCAAATACAAATGTAATGTTGTAATGTTTTATTTTAAAACAAAAATCTAGGCGAATTAAGCAGTGGCCCTCGAAGCAGTAGTCCCCTCATTGACGTAGAAGCTGTCTCGGATGAGGACGAAAATGGCCTTCGCAACAGTAATAGTGTAGGTCAGTGCTATAAGTGGTCTAAATGTATTTCTGTTGATTGTTGTCTATCGGTGTTGTTTTTCTCAAACTTAACTTATACAGTCATCTCTCCTACTAGAAACCCTGTTTATCTATGTAGTTTTACTACTAGTATGCGCTAAGATTTATGTAGCGCTGTCTATTATTATCCCTGCTATATCCTAAAGATTAGGTATGCGGATAGTAGGTATGATGGTAAGCCATTAGTAATACAAAAAAATAAAAAATATATACTTTTACGCATTTTTTGTAAATGTAACATTTAATAAATACACTTTTAAATAATGTCAAAAGTCCGCAAAATTTAAGTATAATTTTAGATAACAAGAAATATTTTCGCGGTATTGCTTAGTATTGTATATCAATCTCAGCATCTAACTTCCATTTTTTGCTTATTATGTAATGGAAATCAAATAAGAAAGTGCTCATTAACTAGAAAAATATATCCAGTACTACTAACACTTACGTCGCTTATGTATAACATTAGGTAATATCACCATAAAATATTTCTTACAAAAACCATGTGCTGTAATAACTCGACGCCCAGTGACCATTTTCGTTTTCGCTGAACTCCCAATTTAAAAAGTCATTATGCAATGTGAATCGACTATATTGAGTGGTAATATTTATTTAATATAGAAATTGTAAAAAACTGTGTAAAAATGCCAATAAAAAAGTACCACATTAAGCCACTAACCAATTTTTTTTTGTAAAAATCGATAACTGTATTGATATAAAATACATAATTAAAGCTGGAAATATTGTACCAACCTGTTACGATGTGTATTTTGAAAACAAAATTTCAAGTTAATTAATATAATTTTGCTTAAGTAATTGTTAAGTGTGACGATTTTCGGGATTATAAAACAATTACTCTAAAATATGTATCATCAACTTTTGCAGATGTTTTAATAACTAATTGGATTGGCATTCTTTTCCATTTGATGTCAGATTAGGGATATTAACTTTTTATTTGTTTTAAAGTGCATTGAGTACCTACTGTAAGTATGCTTTTGCTTTCTAAAACTTAGCTTGGCGTGCATGTCCATTTGCATTTTGCTTATTTTAAGCTAGCTAAAACTGTTTATTAATAGTTCATTCTTCGGTACTGTTCAGAACAATTTTAAACCAAAAATCCGAGTAACCATATTTTTTTATCTTTTCTGAACAGCTGCTGGAACAAACTTGCTTTTTCAATTATATGTTCCATGGCAGTGTTTTTTAAAATTATGGAATTTCTACATTAGTGCCAAGTCTACCTGCAAATGCTAAAATCAAGCATTTTATTAAAATTTACGTTATAATTTATTACAATTTATTTTAAAATTAAAATTCAAGTTATGTATTTATATTCTATATTTCAGTACTAAGCCTACTTTTAATAGTTTGTGACTAATGTGGAAGGTGCTTCAGTTGTTTAATAGATGTCCGGTGTAAATTCGCAATAGTTGGCACGATTGAGAAAATTCCATGCTAGAGTTAGCAAATTAACTTAAATTAAACCATAAAAGCTTATAAATGAAAAAAATGTTTTTCTATTTCTAGGGGAGCAAGATGCTAGAGTGCTAACTCTTGCAGAGCAAATCATTGCTGCAATGCCTGATCGAATAAAGGTAAAATAAGCATTCATTTTGAGTAAACCACAGATTAGCAAACACCTTTCAGAACGAGAGCGAAGACATGCTGATGGAAAATAGTCCCGGACCACCCGACAGTCAACAGCCTACAGATACATTGTACGACGTTTTTATGGAACCACTTCTTGAGCAATCCTCATCAAGCTTCGAATCAGCAGAGTTCAATTTCGAATTTTCTGATCACAACTATAGGTAGTAGTTTTAGTTAGAAGTTTGTGGTAATCAAACCTTCCATGTGGATATATTTCCAGGTATTATGACGTGGGGACGCCACAATCTAGTCTTAGTCCCGCTTCATCAAGCTGCCTCCAATCACCGTGCTCCTTTACACTTGATTCGCCATCTCCCCCACCTACAACAGCTGACTTCTGCGAATTCCTGCAAGCTTCTGGCACAGTATTTGAAAAGGACTTTTCGAATTTAACTCTTTCGGGTATTTTTTTTTATGTCATTTGAATCAAATTCATGATCAACCCCTCAAATTTCAGATCGCGAGCAGCGCGAATTGTACGAAGCCGCAAAAACTATTCAAAAAGCCTATCGTTCCTATAAAGGTCGGCAACAGCAAGAACAAGACAAAGAGCGTCAAGCTGCCGTGATAATACAAAACTACTATCGGAGATATAAGCAGTATGCCTACTATAAGCAGATGACCCATGCCGCTACTGTTATTCAGAATGGATTCAGGTAAATGTTGTGCAGTTTCAATGTTGATGGTTTAGTGGTCATTGACAATACCTAAGAGAAGAAGAAAACTATCCTATTTTGGCAAAATTTTGATCATAAATTATACAACATCCGACATACTGTTTTTCTATACCCCTACCTACTAACCTATGTGTAAACAATCCATCTCCTGCTCTCAGTAAGAAACATTTGGATGCTCCCTATTTCAAAAACTACGGTTTTAACAAAGGTTATGATTAGTCAGCCATAAATTAGGCCTTAACCCTTTTATTTCAGTTTTTTAATGATAAAAAACGATTGATTTACTGGTTCTCTGTTTGCAGGTCATATTGTGAACACAAACGATTTAAGAAAAGTCAAGAAGCTGCCGTATGCATACAGAATTACTACCGTAACTATAAAGAACAGGGGGGCAGGGGCAGCCGCGAAGGCACGCCCGCTAGCACTGGTCTCAAGTAAGTTACGGGAATTTGTTTGCTGATCGATTTGGTGTTGGGCTTTCTGTGAACGTAGCCATACTTTTGTGCAGCAGGTTGTTTAAGCTGACAGCTATTGTACTGTATTAGACTAAGCCAGAACTTTGAAGGATTTAACTCGCTTGAATTTGTTAGTTTTCTAAAATAAAAATAAAAAGCCTTTTCAAAACTGCGCCGAGTGAATATATTGTTAAAAAAATGAAAACTCACAAAAGGGTGAAGTCATGGTGGTCATTAAAAAAATAACAAAACCGCATATAAAAAATTCATAAAACTTATCAGCTAACCATGATTACAGTAACCATTGTTTTTATGCTGATTTGAAAATATGATCTCATGATGATGATGCCAAACCTATGGAGGATTTAACTAGCTTGAATTTGTTGTTAGATAATAGATAAAAATAAAAAGTCTTTTCAAAACTTCGCTGACTGAATATTTAAAAAAAAAACTAGCAAAAGGGTGATGTCATGGTGGTCATTAAAAAAATAACAAGATCACAAATAACAGATTTATAAAAATTCTCAGTTGACCTATGACTCATTCTTTACAGTCACCGGTTTTATGCTATTTTGAAAAGATGATGTTTAGAATAGCATAATTTCGTAATGCAGATCATGACAAATTATAGTTTTTCAGAAAATAACAATAGTAGGGAACAAAATCAAGGGTTTGAATGTGTAGCGCTTATGTGTATTTATGAGGCAAGACAGTATTTAAATCCCATCCATTCTCATTGTAAATATTGTAATGTAAGAAAACTGATACAACATATATATGTGTTTAGGTGAACAAGGTAAGTTCTGTAACAACCCCCGCTTAATGTCTAAAGGGAACTATTTATATCACTTTAAAATAATGCTATAGAGCGGTATTCTGTAACATGACTTTTTTAAATATTGTGTCGACGATTGGCAAACAATTCCTCACTAACCGTTTAACCGAGACCAACTCGAATGCACTAGCCCCTTCCTGCTTGTATGTTATAGCTACGTGTGGTAGTTCTTAATGTGCCGGTTGTACCAGTATTTAGTTTTACAATAACTAGAAAAATGAATTAAGAAGGAGAAATAATTATTGTAAATCTAACTCTGCTAAATTCATCTGCAATGTACAGTAAAAGCTTAGTTATAAAATTTGAATTAATATTCAATCCAATATCAAGTCATTTTATCATTTATTTGTTTCTTTAAAATGATACATAAATCTCAATTTCCTCTTCTGAAAATATAACGAAGTTTTTACTGCTACTGATTCTGTTTATGTTTAAAAGTGAAATTACTTTAAAATTTTCTCCTCAGGCGTACTTACTCTCAAAGGAGGCAACATCAAGCCGCCAGGAAGATCCAGCAGTTTATGAGACAATCAAAAAATAAGTAAGTTCTGTTATACCATTATTATTAACTTTGCTTTTATGATGTTAAAATGAAATCGTTATAAGTGACATTACTGTTAATGCTAACAGTATTTGGGATGAACCGATGAGTACTACAACTGTGGTGAGTGTTCACATCCCAATGCAACCGGTTCTGTTTTCGTTTTTCGATATAATTGCCATTCTGACCAAAACAATTTCTGTTTTAGATTGCAGAAAGAACGAGCCGAAAAAGAGAAGCAGGAGGTCCCGTCAGCGGATGTCCACCAAAAGTTACAATCTCAAGGGGCATCTTCCAGTTGCACAGACCCAAATAACAGCAGGTTGATATTTTTTATTATATGTTTGCGAAATTCTATAAAAAACATTACGAGGTGTCTGAGTCTTACCAGAAATACTTTTTATCACCCCTAAAATCAAATCATAAAGAAAAAGTTGTCCAAGTGTGCTATTGTTTTCTAGTTTAACAATTTTCATTTAAATTATGTTATGTAAAGAAAATTTTGCTCTTCTTGGACTTTTCATATATCATTTGCTATTTACTGGAACGGTAAAAACAGGTCTTGCGCTAAATTTGCAATGACTTGGTTTCTCGAAAACCCACACGTAGTTTTCAGTTATGAACTGTTACTATTATTTTTTAAATGGAACAATTACTATAGTCTTTCTCAATCTTCATCGTGTTGGGTTTTGACGGACCCTCCCCAATAAAACTTTAAAGATGTTATTTCCTATTTTTATTGGGTAAAGCCATTAACAAAAAAAATATTCTTCTTGGGCCAGGTATATTTCTTTCATTCTGATATATTTCTTGAATGTGACCATTTGTGAAAGTGTTGAATAATCGTTTTTACTGTGTGTTTCGAAAACGTTAATTTACGAGATGCAAAACCGGCTGTAAGAAATGTGTATGAAACTTTAATCACTAGAGGACTTATTCAACAAGAAGCTATAAAAGAGATCTGTCTACCTACAAAAACGCCAATATTCTCTACAAGGGATATTATTAATAGTGGAGACTTGAAGAAAAGGAATAAACGAATAAACGTAGTGATTTTCATACTCCCCGTATAGACAATAGTGATCAGGACCTAATAAGAAGGAAAACATATTGTCTTTATGAAAGCGAAGTTGTTCCTACCTTGGATAAACTGAAAAAGAAGCTAGAAGAAGACGAAACCAATATAAATATAAGCCGTACCACCCTCCATAGATTTGTTTGTAAAATGGGATTTAAGTATGGGAAAATAGACAAAAGGCAAGTTGTAATGGAATCATACAGATTACGCACTTGGAGATTTAATTACCTTCAAGAAATTAAAAGATATAGATTAGACAACAGATCCATAATTTACCTTGATGAAACATGGATCGATACATGACACTGTATCCAAAGGATGGGTTGATTCCACTCAATACTGTCACATGAAAATACCTTTGAATAAAGTAAAGCTCATCGCCATAATACACGCTGGGTCAGAAGGTGGATGGATTCTCTGCAAAGAATATTAAGGATTCCAGCTTCGTCATCATGAGTATACAAGAGCCGAACTTTTTGAAAATTACTTTCATAACAATCTTTTAAAAAACATCCTAAATTACAGTGTTATTTTCATAGATAACGCAAGCTACCACAGCCGTCTGCTATGCATCAAATTCAAAAACTGAAATCCGCTAATATTTATTAGAAAATGATATTTATTTTGAATTGTAACGAAAAAGCGTAACTTTTGGAAGTCTGAAATTCATATGTAATTATAAAACAATAAGCATGCAATAATTTTGAGATAAACACCACAAAAACAAAAATAATGGTTTTTGGGCACACCAAAGATAATGTTAATATGCAGATAACTCTCAACTTCAAAATGTTAAGAGCTGTATCTGGGCAAATAAATGAATATCCATTTAGACCACTCAAAAGAGAGTAGAAGAAGAATTGAGATTGCAAGAGCCGGATTCCTGATCATGCTTAACATGTTATGCCAAATGAGAACGATGAAATGCTACATATAGCCTTGCTTCTCTACACATGCAAAACATAGACATTAAAATAAGAAGACATGAAAAAACCTAACACATTTGAACTTTGGCTATACAGAAGAATGCTTTGAATCAGCTCTAGGACAACCAACGAAGAAGTTCTAACAACAGTGAACACCCGAATACTTTTGGCTGGTCTCATTAAAATTAGAAAAACTTCCTACCTTGGACACATAATGCGCCATAAACAGTATGAATAATTGCAGCTAATCCTGAAAGGAAAAATTGAGGGTAAGAGAAGTATAGGTAGAAAAAAGAAATCAAGCCCACAATAGGGAAGACTGCGCCATATTGGCCGCAACCTTGGGAAAGAAGGCACATATGAGAGGGAGGAAGCGATAATTACGCGATATACTGTTTTACGTCTTCCTCCACATCATTGCATGTTTAACCCAGTATTTGTCAGAGCAGAAAATCTTCTTCCTAATTTAAGTGCCAGTGTTATAACGAAACTTCCACAGGCTACTATAATACTTTTTACAAAACTTCTGGATTCCTCCTGCGTCGGTTTTTGCTGAGTCAAAATTGCTAACGTTTCACCAATCAGCCAATCATCTGTTGGCTTCTTCAGAGCTTGACTGAAACTGTTATAAATATGATAAAAAATGTAATTAATAACATACCAATTGAGAGCTGGAACAATTCAGTACAGCACATTATGTAAATTGAGGACTCTTACATTTATATAAAAAACAACAAAAATCTTATATATATATATATATATATATATATATATATATATATATATATATATATATATATATATATATATATATATATATATATATATATATATATATATATATATTCAAAAGCCAGCACGATGAAGATTGAGACAGACTATACATCAGTATGTATGTATCAGTATGTATATTTATAATCACTGTTTCAGATCAAATAGTACAGAGTAGCTGCAGTCAGACGATTCAAGATCTGGAAGTGATAGACGCAAGTATTAAAACAACCATTGGTAGAGCAGGTATATAATTTTGTAAATTAATATGCTATAGTAGTGGTACCCGACCGATATATTCTTATATCTTTACAATGTCTATTTTGGCTGTTATTTAATAGTTTTATAATGCATTTATAAATTAATGCAAGGATCGACAACAAAAGTGAGATGATTTTAGACGTTGTATGATATATTTTAATTATGTTTGACCGTGAAAATTAAAAGCTGTGATGTAGCCTACCGTTTGCGTTTCTCTCAGAAAAAAAAACAGAACGCCTAATCAAAATTTTTTGTTTGTTATACATATGTACAAATCAGAGTTATATATTTCTTTCAGAATTATTCATTGTAAACGATTACGAAATGATAGTAAATGTACTTATTGGGTCTATATTTTTTGTTGCGCGGGCCAAAACATCCTGTTCGTAGTTCCGCGTACGAAATGTAGACTCACATGATATGCGTGTGAAAAGGTCTAGTCTTAGAAATTTGATTTGTACATTGTGGATCATTAAAAATCTACTTATCTTGTTTACAACTGTTTTTCACTGCCAATATAGCTTAAACTTGTTTGGATCTTCATTTATAAAGCAATATAAAATGGTGTTTAGTAGCGCTGGAAGTTTGATGTTTTTTACATCGCAATATTTCATTGACTATTGTTCAGCTCTAGTATTGACTAAATCTACTAGCTACTTACTTTTATAGCGTTAATAAGTTGCGGCTTATTTATCTTAACCATTGAAAATTGGAAAAGTACAAAAATACAACTTATTTAGTGTAAAAAACTTCAAAGCGTCGGCTTAACTTTCTAAATAATATTATATAAAGTTCGCTTATACATATCATTCTAGAATAATATACGAAATGAATATTTTTAAAAACGTATAACCTGCTGTACAATGACGGGATACTTAAAATGTGAAAATCTGGAGTGTAAATAGGATGTATTATCGGTGCTCAATGGGAAAAAATGTGTATTATGTAAGCACAAGAGTTACTTTGTTTTTCGGCAGTATTTAGTCAATTACGCATAATGCACGAAAGTACAGTTTGACTATTGATTGAGAGTACCTGAAGGCAGGATTGAGTCGGCGGAATACTTAATGAGAAATTCCCTCCTTTTGTATAAAGTCATTATTTAACTTTTAAAAAGATTATTCTAGTTTTAAAATAATCTTATTCTAGATTAAAAAAATGTCTGGAGTACATATTGTACATTATGAATGTTGTTGAACTATACATAAACAAAAAGTAAAAATATTGAAAGAAGCTTATGAAATTTACTCCCGGAAGCATCTTTATAGGTATAGGCTAATGGTTTCAAATTTAGATAGCAAATTTAGGATAATTAGACTTTAAAAATATTTTATAATCAAAAACACTGTCCAGCAAGTGAAAATTCTCCACAAATATATTCGCAAATCCAGAAATTCATACTTAGAACAACAGCTCTTTATTATCACCAAATCGAAAAACAATGCTTGTATAAGGTGATCAAACTGCAAAATTTCACCTTTTATTCGAGTCCAATAAGTTTTCACTTTGAAAAGAGAAAAATATGTTTTCGTGTCGAGTGCTCCTTCAGTTATAATTTACTAACCCAAAATGATGATAGCCACAGAGTTTGTTCCAAGTATGAACAGGACTTTAAGAAATACATTTGAAAACAATCAAAAATCAAAACAATCCCTAGTAGCTAAGTTCCAAAATGCGTATGACCGTAAGAAATAAAACAGATACCGAACTAGTCGAGGGAGAAGCTAATAACTGTAAATAAAGGACGCGCTTGAACCTTAAAACAAAAGAGAGATAGAAAATTTAACACCAAAAATATATCGAAGAACATGTAAATTTGTATTAAACAACAGTACCTAGAAATTAAAAAGTTTTATTGGACAATTATATTCGATTTAAATTTTATATCTACTAGACAGTTATATTAAACAAGTGTATTAAAAATATACTGTAGTGAGAGGAAATATTTTAATGAACATATTTATTTCCTATTTAATAATTATGGTAAGCTTTAAAAACAGACCTATATACAGTTGAAACAAAAGATGATAGTATTTATTACATAGGCAATTTCGACTATTAATACATAGTTTTGGAATGTACCGATTATTTTTTGCTATGTGTATGTGACGCTATCGAAACTGCAAGGCAAGGGCGAGAAATCTAGCGATATATTTTTATTTATTTTGGAAAAAAAATCTTTGATGTATTTCCAAACCTTTCGGAAATTTGCATTTGCCGAGCACATAATAAATGTAATTCCCACTTAATAAGGATACAGAATTATTCAAGATTCCCTTTCATTTTAAGATATTTCCAGGGTTGTACGATTTCTGGTTACACAAGTAGTCGCCATCAACTTCTTTATTTCGAATGGATCCCTCAGAATATTATCCCTTTTTTGGATTCCTGATATTCGTTTTGGCACTTTTAACCATTTTGGACAATGCTTGTCTGTATGCCTATTTTCCATTTGTTATTCCAAAATAGCGGATGTTTGAAATTCAAATCTCATCATTGGGTTCTCGAAAACTGTAAGATATACAAGGCAGCTCAAATTAGGATAAAATTGTGTCTCGATGAGCCCGATAAATTATATTGCTCGTATTTCCGGAAATATGACGGAAAAACTAACATTCCCCTATTTCAATTGTTCTGTTGAATTAAGAAAATATGTAGTGATTAAAAAAAAATTGCTGTGTTTCCGAGTGTGAAATAAATAAAAGTACTGACGCTACGCTATTTTCTCGCCGCCCTTGCCGTCGACTTTTATAGCTCAGAGTCTTCAAAAAGAACTTTGCGGTTATTTCACAAACCAGACGCCAAACCCAGCCAGAACAAGATATTACTATCCGAGTGTTAATTGACTGAACATGTCGTTGTCAAAAACGAAGAAATTAATATTGTAAAAAATCTGGCTAAATGAATACAGTATGTAAAAGCAAAATAGTCGGTACGAAAAACATAGCCTGTAGATGCACAGTACCTATATATATTATAATTACTACCTGTTCATTATCCATTAGGAGTTGACAAATTGTTATGTATACACACTTCGAACCCTCTGTATATTGCAAATATACATGATCACTGTATTTTCACAATTAATGGTTACTATTGTGCACTCGCGTTAAATCTTTAATTTTGTTGTTTATGACTCGTGCTTAAGTAGTTAACAGTATTTGTTACATTTGTCGACCTGAATATTTATATGCATAGTATGCATATGCTTAGAGATCAGATCAATTTGGACACTCAATTTCTAGGGCAAGGTACCTCAAACGAGCGAAATTAAAAATATCGAAAACCATCTTCATACTACATTTTATTATTATGTCTTCAAGAATTTAAAAATTATGAAAGAATTATACAGTATTTTGCTGGTAAGAAACCCCTTTGTGATGTTTTAGATGTAGTGAGAACAATTTTGATCCAATCTCCAAGTATTGAACTTAAAAGTTGTTATATTTCAGTTGTTAATCAAGTCACTTATTTTTACTATTATGAAAATGTTCATGTAAATTATTCTCATGTCATTCCATGAAGTTGTTTGAATTCAAAAAAATATTTTGATACTGTACTTATGTACTTTGTGCTACTATTTATTTGTTTATTGTGTTTATTAGAGTGCAAATGTTAACTATTGGTACATATTATTGTGACTAATAAACACTTCTGAATTAAATAAATGACTTTGGTCTAGATAAAAATGTGCCCAGCCTTTATCAACTCCAAGTCAAATTAATTACACCAACACGAGTTTGTGATTTAATACTCACAGTAGTAATGGTGTATTGTTAGTGTGGTTATAGTCTAAAGCAAGACATGGTTTGCTAAAGAGTCCACAAGTTTATATAAAATTTCGCAATTTAATTCTGAAAAACATTTCACTTACTATTTTCATAACAAAAATTCGTGAAAATATTTTAGTTTGTGAACAAATTTAATCATTGTATATTGCTTTAGATTTATACAATTAAACAAACACGCTATATTTAAAAACTTTCATTAAGCGTAAAATGTAATTACTCCTCAATGTGCATGCATTTCTTGAAGTTTTGTGCATATTTTCATCTCTCATATATATTATTTGTACTGTAGAACAGATTAGAAACTATGACATACAACTATTTCAATAAGTTCAACTTACTGCTATCCAGACTAATTAAAACACTGCTTCCCAATTAAAATTGGAAATAAATATTATACATCCCCATGGAATCACTACATAATAATAATACTGTTCCAGTCATAATTCGAAACGTACTCAAAATTATAGGTTGTACTTGGCTGTCTGTCAAAAATTGGGAGGTTAACACAACTGTCCTTTTAAGGTCCAGTCTCATATAGAATGTCTCGAAAGATGTGACAAAGGGCTTGATATTTTGTATTTTTTGTATATCTCGATCCGTTTTAGCTATAATATAATAATTTTCAACAAATTAATCTATTTACTTACATAGATAATTTATATTTCGGTTTCGTTTTTTTTTATATCTTCATGATAAAGAGCCTGTTTGTTTTCTCTCAATAAACTACAAATCTCTTTTCCTCTTCTTTGCAACACACAACGCGTTACTTGATAGTATTTTAACTAAAGAGTAACTTCACATAAACATGTGTTCTAAAATGGTTTTCAAAATGCAGAGTATCAAAGTTTACGAAAAATGTATTGTTTTTATTAATATCTCGAAATTTGTTCGGCTGTTAAGGCGTTAATTTATCAATAAATGACTTATGATGTTATTTGAGCATTTAAACTGGACCCGGACCATTTTTGACAATAATAGGTTGAGAAAGGAGCTTTAGTTCACCAATGCGTCACTTTAATTACAAGTTGCGAAATTACATTTACCATTTAACATAGGTTTCTATATTTCGTTTCTTAAAGCGAGACAGTAATAAAATGTAGACCTGCAATTAAACAGGGTGGACAACTTAAAGGTCATATCGTAAAATTAAGATAAATTGCACTGATAGTTTTTCGTATTTCAGTTTTTAAGAACTGCATATCTCGAATCGTTTCTAAACTGTTGTCACACTAATTTGCATACAATATAGAGACAAATTTTGTGAATGAAAGTAATGCGTCAGCGGCGTTACTACAAATATAATAATAATTACAGATGATTATAGATATGGGCAGATAAATGAGATATTAATTAATCTATGATCAAGGAAATAAAAATTTATATAAAAGTAAGAATAATATAAAAATAGATGATAAATTGCAATAAATCTTTATTATTATTAAAAAAATATTAAATTAATTATTATTAAAAAAAAATACTATTTACAATACAATCATTTTTGAATTTTAGAAATTGTGTTCCGAGTAGTCACACCAACTATAGTGCAAAACAGTAATTGTTTTCTGGCATGTTATCAACTTCCCACATTCTTTCTTCTATTTCAGTTACCTGTTGGATGCACATATTCCATTCTTCACACTCCACTGACTTAATTCCCTTTCGCAAGCAAGTTTTAACGTCCCTCGTTTTATTAAATGGTGTCTCTATTCATTCTCTATTAAAGCGGTTTTCCGTTACAAAAATCCATTTCCTTCAAATTTTTCCACAAATTTTTCGTGCCCATGTGTGCACCCTGTTTCATTCGCCAATGAAGGCAGTTCTTTTAAAGTAAAACGAGTGTATTATTCATCTGATGGCGGCCTTTTCATCCTCATTTATTACAGTTTCTTTTCTCCCTGTACTCCTCTTTGAGAAGACCACGTTTATATTCGTGCACAAGTCGGTAGTCTGCGACTGTCCATATTGAGTCTTGATGGCGAAGAGCTTTGATCACATTAAGAATAATAATTTTCTAATTTTTACTAATACGTTTCTCAACAACAAACGCGGATATTTACCATTTAACATAGGTTTCTATATTTCGTTTCTTAAAGCGAGACAGTAATAAAATGTAGACCTGCAATTAAACAGGGTGGACAACTTAAAGGTCATATCGTAAAATTAAGATAAATTGCACTGATAGTTTTTCGTATTTCAGTTTTTAAGAACTGCATATCTCGAATCGTTTCTAAACTGTTGTCACACTAATTTGCATACAATATAGAGACAAATTTTGTGAATGAAAGTAATGCGTCAGCGGCGTTACTACAAATATAATAATAATTACAGATGATTATAGATATGGGCAGATAAATGAGATATTAATTAATCTATGATCAAGGAAATAAAAATTTATATAAAAGTAAGAATAATATAAAAATAGATGATAAATTGCAATAAATCTTTATTATTATTAAAAAAATATTAAATTAATTATTATTAAAAAAAAATACTATTTACAATACAATCATTTTTGAATTTTAGAAATTGTGTTCCGAGTAGTCACACCAACTATAGTGCAAAACAGTAATTGTTTTCTGGCATGTTATCAACTTCCCACATTCTTTCTTCTATTTCAGTTACCTGTTGGATGCACATATTCCATTCTTCACACTCCACTGACTTAATTCCCTTTCGCAAGCAAGTTTTAACGTCCCTCGTTTTATTAAATGGTGTCTCTATTCATTCTCTATTAAAGCGGTTTTCCGTTACAAAAATCCATTTCCTTCAAATTTTTCCACAAATTTTTCGTGCCCATGTGTGCACCCTGTTTCATTCGCCAATGAAGGCAGTTCTTTTAAAGTAAAACGAGTGTATTATTCATCTGATGGCGGCCTTTTCATCCTCATTTATTACAGTTTCTTTTCTCCCTGTACTCCTCTTTGAGAAGACCACGTTTATATTCGTGCACAAGTCGGTAGTCTGCGACTGTCCATATTGAGTCTTGATGGCGAAGAGCTTTGATCACATTAAGAATAATAATTTTCTAATTTTTACTAATACGTTTCTCAACAACAAACGCGGATATCCATAAACGAACTTTGCCAACAACTGCCGGGAAGTAACTATAATTCTAATTTTAAACACTAAGGCATACGTAGGTCAACTACCATACCCTACTTCATAAGATCGCTAAGTTTCGCAGTTCAATAATGATTCGCATTCGGAAACAGAGCACAGTGCAATAATTTAGTTTTGTATTTTTTGTTAGAAAATATTATCAAAAACAATTTGTTATTAATAAGCTAATACCATAAAATCTAAATGCACATTTTTACATAAACATTGATTACCTAAATTTTACATTTTTGAAAACAAAAATAAATTTGTAAAATAACGTAATGCCTCGTTTAGCGGTTTAATCGCGCAATTAAGATGCAATAATTGAAATGGAAAACCGATGTCAAGTTGATAATATAACAAGAAGATTGTAAAATCAACACATTTCCACTCTCACCTTTATCTTTATCGAACAGGGATGTAGGAAAAACAAGGTCTCGAGAAACCAGTCTGACGATTTCGCCATCAAGAGAGCCAACATGGTTTTTAATTGAATTTTCTTATTAGTTTTGGTTACACGTTCGCCGCGTGTATTTCGGCATTTTTAATTATTCTACACAGTTAACGAATATTCTCTGTCATTTAAATAATGCCCGAAGATTATTTAAGTTAAGTACCGATCCCATGGTTTGATTAAACGAGTTGGAAAAAATTCCAAAAAATATATGACACTGTCGCGTTTCAGAAACCATGACACATAGGAAGTTAGTGGCGTTCTGCTAACTTGTCTGCTTCTTCCGATATTTTAAAACCCGTTTTTATATATTAAAGAGATTTTGAGTGATTTTTATTTTGACAATATTATAAATTTCACCGACATTTTTGTTTTTCTTCCACCTCATTAGTTCTATTTTTTTCTTATGGCCGCCATATTAAGTTTTTCAATTTTTCATAAAAACTATTTTTCAGATTGCTTACTGAAAAGCTACAAAATTTTACAAAAGTCGACTTTTTGAGGGTTGAGGGTTGATGTTGACCGGCTTAGAATAGACATTATAATCTTTTCTGACATCGTATTTATACCGCTTTCTCAACTTTATTTTATTCTACAATTTTGAGTCCAACATTTCAAATAAAATTTCCCTTTCCAAGAAAAATACAAAATAAAAATGTCGCTCGACAAAAGCTAAAAAATCTGTATACCCATTTCTGAAAGTTAAAAATTGAGAATGCAAAAGTATGAAAAAGTCGTGTTAAAATCTGGCGATTCGAAAGATTAGTTGGATTTTTTATATAGCTCAAACCGGTTTCACAAAAATGTTCAAAGCGATTGACTAGAAAATTTTCTTATCGGAGAGTGCTATATTTGTTAAAATATTATTATGCCGGGCCCACACATGTAGTTTTTTTCCACACCACTCTTTTAGAGATATACGATTTCACAAAAGACAATCGACAATACGTTAGTCGATAAATGTTTGCTTGTTTGTTCTCATTTAAGAAAATAAGGCAACCCCATATCCATAACGTGTATCCAAGGCCCGATGCCTCGCCCTCAACGAGGCGTTTCCACATCGATCGTCGGGGTGTGGTTGCACAACCCTTATAACGACACTCTACTCGCTGTCTCCCGTTTCTACTTTATTATGTTTGCGTTTGGGATTGTGAAAAATTAAAAATTAATCAGCCAAATTCGCCGTGCGGCGACACAAATACATTTTGCGGTTATATCCGCATT